AGTTCGTAAATTTTACCAATATTTATTTGGCAAAAAATTTGTTTTGGTAACGGACAACAAAGCAATTTCCCATATATTTTCGCCAAAAAAGGGCATACCCATTCTTTCCGCCACCAGAATGCAGCATTATGCAATTTGTCTATCGCATTTTAATTATGATATCTGTTTAAAAAAATCTAAGGAAAATGCTAACGCCGATGCCATGTCGCGACTTCCAACTAAGGCGATGTATAACCAAATTGAAGAGGCGGACGTTCTAGAGATCTCGGCGATAGAAAATTTGCCAGTTACCGCTGACGAATTAAGTGAAGCATGTCGTAAAGACGAGGAGACAAACATGTTGAGAGAGTGCCTTAAGTACGGACGAGAATGTGAAGGTAATGAACGTTTCGGTATACCACAAGCAGAGTTTGCGTTACAAAGCGGTTGTTTGTTGCGGGGAATAAGAGTGTATATACCGAAGCCATTGCGGGGAAGAGTGTTGCAGGAATTGCACTCTGCCCATTTTGGGATTTCTAGAATGAAGAGTTTGGCCAGATCATATTGTTGGTGGCCAGGCATTGATAAAGACGTAGAAAATATTGTATCTAATTGCAGGCAATGTCAGTCGTTTAAGTCTAATGCAAAAAAAGTTTATCCGGCTCATTGCTGGCAGCATGCAAGTCATGTTTTTGAGCGAGTCCATGTTGACTTCGCAGGACCATTTCTGGGAAAGTACTTGTTTGTAATGGTGGATGCTTACAGTAAGTGGCCAGAAGTGCGGGTGATACCTAACATTTCAGCAGATACTACCGTTCAAACTTGCCAAGAAATATTCGCAACGTTCGGCATTCCCAATATTTTAGTCAGCGACCACGGAACCCAATTTAATTCGGAAGAATTTAAAACTTTTTTAAAACGTAATGGAGTGCAGCATAAGCAAGGTGCTCCGTATCACCCCGCAACCAACGGGTTAGCAGAGAGATTTGTACAAACCATCAAAAACAAACTAAAATCTGCAAATTGTACAAATCAAACCGTAAGCAAAGAATTACCGAAAATTTTGCTCGCCTACCGAAGAGCAATACACCCAGCCACAAACAAATCGCCCTCGATGTTGATGTTCGGAAGACAAATAAAATCACGTTTAGATTTTTTGTTGCCTAGCAATAAAGTAAAACAACCTCTTATACCGGCAAAGATAAACAAATTTACAGTGGGAGAGAAGGTAGCAGTTCGAGACTACCAGTCGCCCGAAAAATGGCGTTTCGGAACCGTCACGGCCATTCTAGGCAATCTGCACTACAACATCACACTGGAAGATGGGCGAATCTGGAACAGGCATGTTGAACAAATGCGTGACGTGGGAGAAAATGCAGTAAAACAAACAAGTGACCATTTAGTTCAACCGGTGCATTCCGCAGTTCATGTGCAGCAACCAGAAGTCGAAAAACAAATTGAGAAGCAGACGGAGAACGTCTTGGTTAAAGAAACTCTCGCCGCCAGACTACCAGTGGGAAACAGCGCTACGAATACGAAAGAAGGAGGGCAAGCAGAAAATACTTCGTTGCGAAGATCAACCAGAGAAAAAAAACGACCAGATTATTTTCAAGCGTAAAAGGAAAAGATACTTATGAATTTTTAACATATTACTGGATATGTATGTATAAGGTTAATTTGAAATGTATTGCAATTATCTTTCGAAATATTATTAAATATTTTACCTTAATCAATGAATTAGAGGGCGGAGAGATGATATATATTCACATTAGGGTTAAGCAAATGAGTAACAACACAAGAGTAACAACGCATACATACATCTGTATGTATGTATGTACATATGTAAAAGTAGATATATATTTAGAATTAAGCAATTGTCAAGAAAACACGAAATGAATAATAAAACTATAAGCAGTGTGTGAAAAGAACTTGAAGAGTGAACTTCAATTATAACAACTCCTTTTTCCAGCTATTAATATTTTATCATACACAGGGTGTAAAATAATAACTGATGAACAGGTTTTTTTGAAAAATAAAAGGGACCTTTATATATTTTGCGAAAAGAGTAGTTTATTGTTAATTATTCACAGATTTTACTTAAATTTTATTAACCGGTTTTGCAATTTTAACCTTCATTTGGGTTTACCAGCGGTAAACACTTTGAGAGAAAAGCGCAAGCGGCACGCAAGTCTTCGTCGGTTACTTTATTACATATCTTCTGTAACCATAGGCTAATTTCCCCCATTTGGCTCCTTTATACTCGGTCTTTTGTCCAACATAAGGCCTCATTCTCAGGAATCGAAAAGACTCGGAACTGGTGACTAAGAGGCCATTCTTTCGACCAACCCTATAGTTATTTATTTTTAACATTTATTGTTGCTTTGAAAAAGATTTCTATGATATCTTTGTTGTTTGTACCTAATTAATGGTAATTTGTAAGAATAAATTGCACAAAATATTAAAACAAAAATTGTACCCCTTTTTTATGTTTTGTATTGCTTTTTTCTATAGAAAATGGAAATTTAGTTTCTCCGTTTCAGAATCTGGCAACCATAGTTCCGCGACATGAAGGGTTTGAAGGCAATGAAAGGGCTGGCTGTATCGCAAAGCGTGGAGCCGAAATGGGCTTGCATGGTCCCGAGCCATTTTGCGGTATATCTAAAGGATACACTGCAGAACTACTTAGGAGCAGGAAAGAATCTCAAATTGCTGCCCCTTTGGCGGAAGGAAAAGATAACAATCAAAGAGATTTATAACTCCTCCCAGGAGGAACTCCGAAAGACTCCTTGAACTTAGAACTCTTACTGGCTACTTAACAGCACACTGCAAGTTATGGTACCATTTGAATCAAATAGGGCTTTCTGTAGAGATGGGCTTTAGGGGTAACCTATACACTTTGGAGAACGATTGCCTTCTCCATCTAAAATTTAGAATATGGCACCGTCCGAATAGCCTAAGGTTGGAGATACTACAATTAGCGTTTAGAACAATAGATTTTCTTAGGACGCATAAATCTGTATAGTGAAATGCATTGTTATACGCAGTTAATTGNTAGAATATGGCACCGTCCGAATAGCCTAAGGTTGGAGATACTACAATTAGGGTTTAGAACAATAGATTTTCTTAGGACGCATAAATCTGTATAGTGAAATGCATTGTTATACGCAGTTAATTTGTTTTGGTTGTACTAGCTGTGTTTTAGTTTTACCAAATATTAAGTTATCTACATTTTTAATAAACTTGACATTGAACAAAAATATCAAAAAATTCAAACAAAATTGTTGGTAGGTTTTGGTGGATTTGGGTAGGAAGTTTTGGTAGGGGAAAAAATTGTCTGTGGCAACGCTGTTTGCCAGCTAGTAATCACAGGTAGCAATGTTTACGATTCATCGATAGCTCCACGAGCAATCATAAAAATCAAATCACAAATTGATATGTAATTTTTTATTGTATTTTTATCCAGCAAATTCCTTTATAAAACGTTTAAATTAATATTATACGTCTCACACCAGCCAACAGGTAATTTCGCAATGATGATCAAATAGTAAACTGCCGGCAATTTAGTACATATATTGCATTAAAATATTCGTTTATTGTACGAATTTAAAAAAAAACATGTTTCTACATTAGTACTATGTACGAAAGTATTTTAGAAATAAAACGAATACAGATTTGTAGATTTCGTATGCCTTCGTACAATATACAAAATTATTGGTACAGAGATCTTTTCGGTAATTTACGCATGTGTTTTGTAAATTAAACGAAAGTTTTCATAAATTGTACCGCAAAAATGCCTTACGAAACTCCTTTCGTTATAACGGGTGATTTTTTAAGAGCTTGATAACTTTTTTTTTAAAAAAAACGCATAAAATTTGCAAAATCTCATCGGTTCTTTATTTGAAACGTTAGATTGGTCCATGACATTTACTTTTTGAAGATAATTTCATTTAAATGTTGACCGCGGCTGCGTCTTAGGTGGTCCATTCGGAAAGTCCAATTTTGGGCAACTTTTTCGAGCATTTCGGCCGGAATAGCCCGAATTTCTTCGGAAATGTTGTCTTCCAAAGCTGGAATAGTTGCTGGCTTATTTCTGTAGACTTTAGACTTGACGTAGCCCCACAAAAAATAGTCTAAAGGCGTCAAATCGCATGATCTTGGTGGCCAACTTACCGGTCCATTTCTTGAGATGAATTGTTCTCCGAAGTTTTCCCTCAAAATGNTCAAAGCATACTGAGCATCTTTCTCTTTGACACCATGTCTGAAATCCCACGTGATCTGTCAAATACTAATGCATGAAAATCCTAACCTCAAAAAAATCACCCGTTATTTACGAATGGTTCGTAAAATCTTGTTTCGTTGTGAAAAATGTCTTCGTATTATGAACGGAAGTTTCGTACGTTGTACAAAAACCTAGACTACGAAAGTTTTTCGTAGCATTTTTACGAAATTTTATTTTCAGTGTGACTACTATTATCTTACTAAAAAAATATGTAGAACAGGCGTAAATATAAAAAATTAATAAATTTGAAGCAAATACATATCGTCACCTTTATGCCAGAAGCATGAATGTGCAAATTTACCAATTTAGAGTTATTGTATGTTATACCCAGTGTTGCCGTTTTGGTTACTTTTAACCAATTTTGGTTATTTTTTTCTTGCCTGTGAAGCTTCCCGTTTTGGTTATTTTTTAATATTTACTGTAGTTTTTAATTGACATTGGCAAGCTACACCTGTCGAGGTTGAAGAGTGTAAGCAGCAGCAGTGGCAGCCCCAGCAGTGAAACCAATAAGAATATTTAGAATGAATGTGTTAATATTACTTACATATGTATGGATTTGTTTTATAATACCCCTGTAGGGAAACCGGGGACTGGTGAATCAAATTTCTAGTTCCGTACTAGGTCTTTATCGCCAAAAACGAACTAGTCCGATAAGAACTAGATCCCCACCAGTCCAAAATCGGCCTAAAGTGGTACTTTTAAAAAATTTAATTTTTTTCAGTTTTTTTCACTAGTAATCTCTATCTAAAGTGACGAACTAAGAAATAGTTCGGAACTATAGAAAAAGGGATGCAGAACGAACTAGATCTTATTTGTCGAATTTAGAACCAGTTCGGAACTATCGAAAAAGGGATGCAGCGGGGGGCTTGTTTACTTTACATAGATATGTGTTCGGCGGCTGTTTCGTTCAAATACGCTTCTATTCTGTGCTTCGCAGATGCTTTTTCATAGCTAGGTAATACAAAACTAAAATTTGTGCTAACATTTCAACATCTTGGGACAATAACAGCGAGCACCTCTGCAAACTCAGCTACAGCTAAAGGTATGTAAACGTACATTTATTACAATTATTCATACAAATTTACTTTCAAACTGAAAACACATTTCTTCCAAAATAACTTAAAATCGCACAGACGGAAGAACCAAAAAGATTGAAAAATCATGATACTTTTTTCTTTCGTCTGTCGATTTTAGAACTGGTTCGGAACTATAGAATTTAGGACTAGTTCGGAACTATCGAAAAAGGGATGCAGCGGGGGGCAATTGACACTTCCTAGGACATCGCCATGTTAAATTCGCCAGTTGCTTGCATGCAAAAGAGATTTATCTCGAACCAGTACTGGGTCTAAATGTACTAGAAGCGCACCAGTTCAGAACTAGAGATTTTCCCACAGGGACATGATATACATGGTCGGCTAAAGACTACTTCAAATGAATACATACTTAGATAGTACATATATAAATACCTCGTATATGCGGAATCCAATACCACTTCATGAATGTACAATAAAAAAAGGGATTTGGTTATTCTTTTTCCATTACTGCTTACTTTATTAATTTAAGTTATGATTAATAATAATAATCTNATACGCTTCTATTCTGTGCTTCGCAGATGCTTTTTCATAGCTAGGTAATACAAAACTAAAATTTGTGCTAACATTTCAACATCTTGGGACAATAACAGCGAGCACCTCTGCAAACTCAGCTACAGCTAAAGGTATGTAAACGTACATTTATTACAATTATTCATACAAATTTACTTTCAAACTGAAAACACATTTCTTCCAAAATAACTTAAAATCGCACAGACGGAAGAACCAAAAAGATTGAAAAATCATGATACTTTTTTCTTTCGTCTGTCGATTTTAGAACTGGTTCGGAACTATAGAATTTAGGACTAGTTCGGAACTATCGAAAAAGGGATGCAGCGGGGGGCAATTGACACTTCCTAGGACATCGCCATGTTAAATTCGCCAATTGCTTGCATGCAAAAGAGGTTTATCTCGAACCAGTACTGGGTCTAAATGTACTAGAAGCGCACCAGTTCAGAACTAGAGATTTTCCCACAGGGACATAATATACATGGTCGGCTAAAGACTACTTCAAATGAATACATACTTAGATAGTACATATATAAATACCTCGTATATGCGGAATCCAATACCACTTCATGAATGTACAATAAAAAAAGGGATTTGGTTATTCTTTTTCCATTACTGCTTACTTTATTAATTTAAGTTATGATTAATAATAATAATCTTACAGCAAGTAGGTTCAGTGAAAACAGGATTCAATAATTAAAGGTTTGCTCTTTAGTGACATTAAAGTTAGCTCCCTTACAAAAGCTTTGCACACACACACGTACCCACACACAGTGCCTTGCTAAGGGAGGCGATTTTGTCAAGAGGGAGCGAGAAAACTGTTTTTTGAGCAAACCTTTTATTATTGGGCCATATGAATAAAAAAATAAGCAATTGCTTTCTCTTAAAATTTCAGACCTTTTGCTCGATTTATTCAAACAAAATTGACGTAAAAGGTATGCAATTTTAAGAAAAAGCAATTGCTTAGTTTTTATTCATATAACCCATTGAATCATGCAGTGAAAATACCATTCCACAGTTTTGAAAAAACTGGTTTTTTGCGCTTTTGTAAAATTTATTTATCACCGTATACGCGGTACTACCTTTGAAGTATACGAGGTATTTCGCGCTGAGCGACGATATAGTTCAATGAGCCCAATTTTTATTTTTTTAATCTTAATCTTAAAATATATACAATGTGGTTGTTCACGCTGATTAAGTATTTCATGGATTCTTGCAAAGAAATTGGAAACTGTGTACCTATGTACTTATTTAAAAACGTCATTTAGAGTCTGTTAATGTTTACGAAGATATTAACATTCATACTAGGGTTCAATCGATACCACTAAGGTATCACTCTAATGAGTACTTGTACTCAAAAGACTGAAAGTATCGATACCTACTCAGTATCGTCAAAGTATCGAGTACTTACTTGAATTGTTTTCATCTTCTCTTTCGAGAGATACTTCCCTTTTTTGTTGTAAAAGGTCGTATGATTACGTCTTATCATGGTTTAAAACATTGTATGTCGAAATCACATAAAAGGCCAATGAAGTTGCAGGTATAGAAAACGTATATATTTAAGTTATTTAGTAAGAATAAAAAATAATTATTAATTAATATTTGTGGCACATTACCAAGGAACAGTATTGGTTATAATTTTTTCAGTCATATGAGTGTATAGGTCACCCAATATGGATAAGTTTCGGATTTTTACTTTGGTTTTTATTTTCAAATTAGTTTTATTCACTTTTTTATAAATAATATAGTTCATTCCTTAACAAAAACCTTGTTAATCCAAGTTTAAAACTTTGTACAAAAATTAAAAGCAAATCAACAAAGTTTCATCAAAGAACGTAAATAATAAGAAGGGACAACTTGTGCCTTCTCTTTTGCGCTAGTACGTTTTCATCAAAATTACAAACTTTTTATTTTTAATATTTTTATTGAGCTTTGTACCACGATTGTTTATTAGGAAAAATTGAAAAAGCAACAAAGTCTAAGCGGTAGAAGTTATAGCACTATTTCGGAGATCACCACATCTCCTCATCAGACTTCTTTTTTCTAGACTTCAGCAGGGATCGAACCTGCGAATTCGATGTTCAAAGTCAGAAGCGTTAACCACTGAGCTATGTACATCCCGTAAACTCTTGTTGCTAATTCATTTTCCTTATTCAACCAACTACTATCAAGTGCAGCTGATTTGCCGCTATTTAAACTCGACAGCGTGGTTGTTGTTGTCAATTCTATACATCCATTTGCTTATTTGCTTTTTTGTATAGTTTCAGGCAGGCTCTTCCTAAACTATGTATTTGTCAATGTTATTGTGGCTTGTTAACATTTTATTTTTAATATTTTTATTGAGCTTTGTACCACGATTGTTTATTAGGAAAAATTGAAAAAGCAACAAAGTCTAAGCGGTAGAAGTTATAGCACTATTTCGGAGATCACCACATCTCCTCATCAGACTTCTTTTTTTTCTAGACTTCAGCAGGGATCGAACCTGCGAACAGTGTTGCCGTTTTAGCCCTTTGGTGGCTAGATTTAGCTACCACATACTTGTTTTGGCCACGTAAATTTGAAATTGCCCCTAGCCCCTTTTTTAGCCCTTTGGAGAATTTATTCATACATGGCGTGAAAAAGTTGTATATGCTTAATTTGATCTCTTTTTTTCATTTATGTAAGGGATACATTTGTAAACTAAGAAAGACTTNTGGCTAGATTTAGCTACCACATACTTGTTTTGGCCACGTAAATTTGAAATTGCCCCTAGCCCCTTTTTTAGCCCTTTGGAGAATTTATTCATACATGGCGTGAAAAAGTTGTATATGCTTAATTTGATCTCTTTTTTTCATTTATGTAAGGGATACATTTTTAAACTAAGAAAGACTTATATACATATATACATATATGTATGTATTGTATGTTCCTTACGTTTTTATACATAAATACTGTAAAATAGTTAGGGCCATTCACTTATCTATTAGCGATTTAACTATAATTTAAAATATATAAGTTTACGGCCCTTAATATGCTTAATTTGTTAAATGGCCCATGATGTCGATTGACCGTGTATGTTCTTGTGGTGTGATTGAACCAGCTGCTGGTGCGATTTCAAAAACTGTTTGAAAATTTTATGATTGTACCAGCATGCTGGTGTCGTGAGTGGTGAAATTAGCTCAATTTTCTAAGCAAAAAGTATTTTGGCGGAAATTTCCTGCACTATATGAGTCAAAGCCTACAAACACGGCTTTGACTCATATAGTGCAGATTAAGATTAAGCAGAAGATTAAGTTCGCGATATTGCAGTTGTGAATTAAAAAAAAAACAATGTTTAACAAAATGGTAGACAAATTTTGAAATTTCGGCTCTAATAATTTTGATCTTTCCTCGACCTCATTTGTACAGAAATAAATATTTTACCAGCATGCTGGTAAGTTATATGCTTCGAGCCTGATGGTACAGTTACTTGGTTTAGGTTTAGCTTTTTACCCAGTGTTCATTGTTTTTCTATACAATTACTTATTCAAAATGTTTGTGTGTATACTTATATATGTATACGTAAGTAAAAAATTTTAGCTACCATTTTTAGCCACAACGACTTTTTTAGCTCTTTTTTAGCCCTTTTTTAAAGGAATTTGGCTACCACTAAAAATGATTCGCGCCTGCGAATAATAAACAATCGTGGTACAAAGCTTAATAAAAATATTAAAAATAAAATGTTAACAAGCCACAAACAACAAACAAACTTTATATTCTGAATAAAAAGTGTTTAATTTTGGTGAAACTTTGATTTTCTTTTAATTTTTGTACAAAATTTGAAACTTGGATTTACATGGTTTTTGTCATAGAATGAACTATATTTTTGATAAAAAAAGTAACTAATAGCGTTTTCATTTCACAAAAAAAGTTTCTTGCTTTGCGTTGCCCTGAAACCTGAGAAAATGTTGCGTTCTTTATATGAGAATGAAACAGAAAATATACTACTCCATCACAATTTATTTATAGAACTTAATAAAGCTGAATTATTCACTTGGCCTGTAAGTCTTTAACAATTTTAAAGCAAAACACTTATTTCTGATAGGGAAAATAATTGCATTTTTACAAGATTAAACTAAAAACAAGTAAGAAAGTCTAAGTTCGGGCGGAGCCGAACATTAAATACCCGGCGCAATTATTAAATATATGTTTTCCACCTTTCCGAAAGCTACCGCTACACGATAAGCCGGGGTGTATAAATTTTAAGTGAATTAGCGTCCTTAAATTTCGAAATATTGCAGTTTCAAGCATTTCTGAAATATACCGTTATATGAAAAGCGGTTGTAATTTTAGTCCGATTTCAATAATTTTCAACGCTTTGCTTTTATGTGGCAAGCACAATAACCATACCGAGTTTGGTTCAAATTTCTAGAACGGTTAGCGAGATACATATATGTGATCATAAGTGGGCGGTGCCACGCCCATTTTCCAAAATTGTATCATAAGCGTTTTTCTTGGTAAAAAATTGTTGCAACCATCAATTTTGAATAAATTAGCTTTAATATTTACTGATTTATCGAGGATTTCGTATTTTTCTAAATTACCGTTATATGGGATGTGGGCGTGGTTATTGTCCGATTTTAAAAATTTTCGGCCATTTGGTATGTTGTAGCAGGACCAACAACTATGCCAAGTTTGGAAGAAATTGGTGCAGCGGTTACCAAGATATACACATGTAACCATAAGTAGGCGTGGCTACGCCCATTTGCCAAAATTTTTTAATATTTTTATTTTTCGTCTAAAACTCATTGTAAATGTCAATTTTGAGTGAATTATCTTCAGTAGTTACTAAAATATCGCAGTTTTCGTATTTCTGAAAATTACCGTTATATGGGAGGTAGGCGTGGTTATTGTCCGATTTCGCCCATTACCAATACCGTCCGTCCTATGCCTGAAAGAAGTCCACGTACCAAGTTTCGTTAAGATATCTCAATTTTTGCTCGAGTTATCGTGTGCACAGACGGACGGACGGACGGACAGACAGTCACCGCTTAATCGATTTCTCTTTTCATTCTGATCATTTATGTATACATTTGTCTATATCTATCTCGATTCGTTTTGCCTGTTACAAACAACCGTTATGTGAACAAAGTTATAATACCCTTGTGCACAAGTGCGCTCGGGTATAATAAACCATGCAACTCTCACCCTCACGTTTATGCAACAAAGGCAGCACTTTCGCCGGATCAGAGCGCAACCTGCTGAGAAAAGAACACGACGCCTTGTGAAAGAGCTGAGAAAAGAACATGAAAATGTGACAGCGCTAACACAAAGCAGAATAAGTGCAGCCTTTTTTCGAGAAAATAAAACGNTCATAGAATGAACTATATTTTTTATAAAAAAGTAACTAAAATTAATTTGAAAATAAAAATAAAAATCCGACACTTATCCATAAGGTCACCTCTATAAGTATACAGCACACTGCATCATTTACAAACTATTTATGAAAAAGAAATTGTTTTGTTTCTTTTGGTACATTGCTGAGGAACAATATTATCTAGTTATAATTACATATATGACTTCATATAAGTATATTTTTCACAAAATACTTTTGAAAAAAATAGCTTTGTGCCCCTGCCAAGAAACAACAACTTTTCTAAATGCTTTACAGACAAGCGATTTCATGGGAAAAGGAATGTTTTTAAAGCCTTATAAAAAGGGATTCGGATTATATTTAAAACCATATCAAAAAAACTCTTCATGAAGCTACTCAGAAGACCTCTTACTGATGTAGACTTAAAGAAGTATTCAAAGTTTATTCCAAATTTTAGAGGGGTATTCATGTGTGACAGTTTACCCCGTAAACCATTTAAGAGAGAATGTGGAATAATAAATTTGGATAGTTCAAATACTGGAAAACGATAATGAGATTGATTACTTCGATAGCTTTGGAAACTTACAGCCTCCTAAGCAAATAATAAAGTATTTAGGAAAAAACATTAAATATAACTATAATAAATAGCAAAGCTATAATTCATATAATAGCGGACATTTATGTTTAAAATTCTTATTATCAAAATAAATAAGTAAATATAAAACCTTCTTTTATTTCAAATTAAATTTTATTTGTTCTCGTCATCAACATCAACAGGCCTTTCCATTCATATACACGTATATATTAAATATTTAGCAATTAACTATGTGAACATTATTAACACACTTTTCTAGGGGTGGAGCATCTATATATGTATATACATATGTATGTATGTATGTTTGCATATAGATGTATGTATGAGAATACGTATGTATATATGTATACCAATACACCTTACCAATTTTCGACATATAAACCACCTTGTATCGGATTTCTTGGATTTCCATCAGCGGAATACCCTCTTATCGCTTCCGGTTCCGGACTCAGATTTGTCACCAGCGACATCTTGCGGCCTTTATCTGGGTTCTGAACTTGGATTACGATCGGCGACATCTTTTGGCGGAGCAGCAAATCTTGCGGCGGAGCAGCAGCAAACCATATAGCGGTTCTGCACCGGAGCAACAGCAAACCTGCTAGCAGCGCTGCTGCACCGGTTCCAGAACCGCCATAACTGTACTACTGTTGGGAACTATAAAAACGGATGCAGATCGAACTAGATCTCATCTGTCGAATTAGGAACTGGTTTGGAACTATAGAAAAAGGGATGCAAACGAACTAGATCTTATCTGTCGAATTTAGAACTGGTTCGGAACTAGCGCCAAAGGGATGCAACGGGTGACAATTGACACTTCCTAGGACATCGCAATGTTAAATTCGCCAGTCGCTAGCATGCAAAAGAGAATTAACGCGTACTAGTCATGGTTCCAAACGCACTACAACCGATCCAGCTCCGCACTAGTTCGTTTCCCTACAGGGGTAGTACAGAAAGTA